TGGAACTATAGATGCGTGCTACCGCGTGTCGTTAATTTTTGATTTATTACAGAGACGAGGTCTGGCCAAGCTGCCCAGGCTGGTCTCGAACCCCAGGCTCAGGCAATTCACTTGCCTTGGCCTCCCAAAGTGCTGGGATTACAAGCTGAGCCACTGATCCCGACCTATTTTTTTTTTTTTTTTTTTGAGTTGGAGTCTCACTCTGTCGCCCAGACTGGAGTGCAGTGGCCACTCCTGACCACCACAGCCTCAACCTGATGGGCTCCAGCGATCCTTCCGCCTCAGCCTTCCGAATAGCCGGAATTACAGGCGCGCGCTACCATGCTCAGCTGATTTTTTGATTTATTGTAGAGATGAGGTCTCGCTGCCCAGGCGGGTCTTGAACCCGTGGGTTCAGGCAATCCACTCACCTCAGCTTCCCAAAGGTGCGGGATTACACGCTGAGCCACCGAGCACGGCCTGACCTATTTTTTTTTTTTTTTTTTTGAGTTGGAGTCTCACTCTGTCGCCCAGACTGGAGTGCAGTGGCCGCTCCTGACCACCACAGTCTTGACCTGCTGGGCTCCGGCAATCCTTCCACCTCAGCCTTCCAAGTAGCCGGAACTACAGGCGTGTTCTACCACGCCTGGCTGATTTTTTGATTTATTGTAGAGATGAGGTCTCGCCTGCCCAGGCGGGTCTCGAACCCGCGGGCTCAGGCAATCCACTCACCTCAGCCTCCCAAAGGCACAGGATTACAGGCTGAGCCACCGAGCCCAGCTCCGGCAATTTTAAAAATTTTATATTCAATCTTTGTTTTTTTGGGTCTGAGTCTCACTCTGTTGCCTAGGCTGGAGTGCAGTGGCACGATCACGGCCACCGCAGCCTCAACCTGCTGGACTCAGGAGGTTCTTCTGCCTCAGCCTTCCGAGTAGCTGGAACCACAGGCACGTTCCACCACACCTAGCTAATTTTTTTTTGAGTTGGAATCTCACTCTGTTGCCCAGACTGGAGTGCAGTTGCCGCTCCTGGCCACCACAGCCTCGACCTGCTGGGCTCCAGCAATCCTTTTACCTCAGCCTTCCGAGTAGCCGGAATTACAGGCATGCACTACCACACCTGGCTGATTTTTTTGATTTATTGTGGAGATGAAGTCTCGCCAACTTGCCCAGCTGGGTCTCGAACCCACAGGCTCAGGCAATCCACTCACCTCAGCCTCCCAAGGCACGGGATTACAGGCTGAGCCACCGAGCCCGGCTGCTAATTTTTTTTTGTATTTTTGTAGAGATGAGGTCTTGCTATGTTGCCTAGATTGGTCTCGAACTTCTGTGTTCAAGCAATCCTCCTGCCTCGGCCTCCCAAAGTGCTGAGATTGCAGGTATGAGCCACCACGCCTGGTCTCTGTTTTGTTTTTGTTGCTGTTGTTTTGTTTTTGAGTCGAGGTCTCGCTGTGTCACCCAGGCTGGAGTACAGTGGCACACTCACAGTTACCACACCCTTGACATGGATTCAGGTGATCCTTCTTCTTCAGCCTTCCAAATAGCTGGAACTACAGGCATGTGCCACCACATCAAGATAATTTTTTGATTTATTGTAGAGACAAGGTCTCGCCATGTTGCCCAGATCGGTCTCAAACCTGTGGGCTCAGGCGATCCTCTTAGCTAAATCTCCCAAAATACTGGGATTACTGGCGTGAGCCACCGTGCCCAGGTGATCCTGTGTTTTTTTTTTTTTTTTTAGTTTTTTTT